AAACTACTTTGAGATCAATTTAAAAAAAGTCAAAACAAAAAAGTAAAGAACCAGCAACAAGCAGACATAGTGAATGCACGAAGCAATCAGATTCAAAAGGCTTCAACCGCGACGTTTGACCAACAATAACCAGAGCATGTGAATAATAAAGAAAAGGTGCCTTACGGTATCTCCAAACAATGTTTTTTTATTTGTACAACTGATATTGCAAGCTATATTGGTGTAATTATATGTACGACAATGGCTGTAAGATGGGACAATAACATTGAAATCTGTTTGCCAAAATTTAACTCCATTCACCATGTGTTGGTCGTGGGAGACATTGTCCATAGAACAACATACTGGTATTCATTCTACCCATGTCAATAGTTAAAGTGGTATGCCTGATAATTTTAGATAATTAAACAGGGCATGGAGTCACCTAGTACTCGTTGAAGCGATCATATGTAAACCTTTTCATTGGAATGAGTAATGATTGTTGGAAATAAACAACTTTTGAACACTCACCTCGTCAACATTACCGTTCCATGTCGCGTAGAATAGACCGTTCCAACTGACCAGTAACTGGATCCTCAGTGTTTCCGAGTTACGGATATTCTCTCCTATTATCAACTGACTTTCCTCGTCGAGATCAACGCCGTCTAAATAATTCAAAGTGTAAATCTGACCCGGTATACCCGTCACAAGCTCGATCTGTGCTTTTAAGTCAAACACTTTTATCCCGGAAGAAAGATTGGTGAAAGTTGTCAAGTCTTCTGTCGGGAGCTGGACGAACAGCTTCAGTGGCTGTGGCTCGTCAAGCTCGTCATCCATGTCAAATTCCTCTGCGGTCTCACACCGGTATAAGTCACGAACTCCTGTCAACTTGCGATTTATTGCGGGACTGCCTCTCAAACTGCTGTCACTGAAGTGATCATTAGTGGTCCTGTTGCTAACTGACGACATCTCGATATGTGATTCTCCCTCACCAACTCAAAAGAGAGATACCCAGTACACCAAATCAAAACAACATTAAATAATGTCTCCTTTGTATCGAATTGAAAAAAATTAGCAGTGCTTTCGATACGATCGATATGACGGCAGTAACATTACACACGTAACAGTTGGCACTGTTCACCAGCTGGCGATGTTTTGAAAACAACGCAAACATACACCAAACGAATTACATACGTACCGACTAAAACCGTGATGCTATGTCATTATTGTATGACACAAATCTTGGTTTCTGGCGATTACTGGCATCGTGGCACAAATTGCTGTATAATGACGGCGTTTGTCATCAAATAGCCCCTACAGCACCACTATATATATGGACTGTAAATATCTTTTGATATGACCCTTAAAACAACCTGTCACATGGCGCACCTGAAACGAAACATGCCTATTCTGAAAGGAGACTTACACAGTGCCGACGATTCCACTTTTAGCTTGACAATATATACGTATTCACCGTCATTCTGCATGATAAAAGCAACATACAGGCATCAAGGGTACATTCGAGTATTGAATTATTGCTTTATGTTCTTTATTACAATGAATGCTTTATTTGAATAGCGAACAATCTATCCCATAGGCGCCTATGCAAATCTACACTATAAGATGCTATTTTAAGATTATATTAATCTCTCCTGCGAGCCACATGTTATCAACACAGGCGGCTATAATTTTCAGAGTCGTTTAAAACATTTTTGCATGAAATGTCTGAGATATTAACATGCTATTGTCACTATACATTAATACATTAATATATATATATATATATATATATATATATATATATATATATATATATATATATATATATATATATATATATATATATATATATATTGACTCGATTTCAGTTTTGCCGTTCTTGTTCGTATATACACGCCTCCTTTGTTCCAAAGAAATTCTTGTGTAAATTTGCCAACTTACCCGTATCACAGTATAGATGCTAGTTGCCAAGAAACTGGCGCGCCAGTCTTCTGTCTATGTACAATGTCCCAAATACGGTTTATCTTGACAAGTTGAAATCACATGATACGAGAACGCGTATGGAAAACGTTTGCTGTACCAGAATGAACAGTACTACTGAATGTTTCTACTTCCATGCGATAACTTTATAATTCATTTCCAAAAATACTTTTGAAACAAAGTTCAAACAAAATGCTACCAGGTAGCGGCGCCGACGGCTATTTGCGTTGTTGTTCAGTATAGCACGCCTTACATATCATAAACATACATACATACATATGTATTTAAATTGCTGTTGTGAATGGTTGCTAAGATCGAGCGAACATTCCCACCCCACAACGGCGAACAAAGTGGTTTAATCTACCGGTACCCAACTTGTCATGGACTCGAATCCGTGCATGTTAAAATAAACTCCATTGTGATTTGGAATGCACCATTTCTAATTGGGGTTCGACCCACCCCCTCTGGTTGTCATTCAATCTCAGGTCAAGTACAAGTATTATTTCTTTGCCTCCGACATATTTCCAGCATATTCGAACCCAGTCTTGTGGAATGCATTCAACACAACCTACGCTACGTAGGCAGGCAAAGCTATGTCATACAAATTACATTCTGTGCTTATATATTAGACTGGTTGCTACTGGTGACATAATTGCGAAATGGTGAGATATTTCGCGTGCACATCATAATTTCGCAATCAAACAATTATCCGTTAGTTAATGAGTTCCGCCTGTGAGAACACCTGATAGATAGTCATAGACTCTATACTATGGTTCTGTGCAAGGTAGCGACAGGAGAGTAGCGAGTAGTAGTTTAATTGTGGCGTGTGTATGAATGTTACCATATGCAATCTATACCGGGTACAGGTGATTTACAATTGTATATGGAAGGGCATGATGTGATAAAAATAAAACACACACAAACATAACATATTATTAGTGAACTACGACATTAGATGAAATTATTAAATATTCGCAGAATTTTCGCCACACGCGTCCATGCACCTAATAATAAAAGTAATTTGTCATCACTATTTGTAGGGAAATTTGAAATTCTTGTTTTGACGGACCAAACTAGACTTCCATGTAGTTTTTAATCAGAACGAATTTATAAGTTGTCCCTCTATATAGTTAGATTGCGTGTAAAACTGAATGAACGCGAAAATACAAAGAAACGTTTTATTGCGTTCTAAAGTAAAATTTTGACTATCGTTTCTTCCACCACACATTTGCATTCATCCCGTTTTTTTTGGCAATCTAATTTGGTTAACAACTCAGGAAATTCATTTTATTAAGAAAAACATGAAAAAATAAAAGACCCAATGTGAAAGGCTTATGTTGACATATTGCCATTATTGATGACCCCCTCCTTTAAATCTAGTGAATAAGCTAGTTCCGTTTATTTGAATATTTTGT